GTTGGTTTTCGGTGAAGATAAAACTCGATGAGAAGGAAGTGTTGAAATTCAGACAGGAATTATGGGACAACCCCATAGTAGTATTTTTAAAGTGAAAACGTATTTGGCAAAATGGATGTGTATTTCTGGAGGAGAAAGATTTTCGGAATCTCGGCCCCTTCCTTCGTCAGTCAATGGAGTTTTCTCAGTCCTATACTAAAAAAGGCTCTGTAAGGGATCTCGTGTGGAAATGGAAATACAACTCAGAACGAGATGCCAAAGTGGTTTCAAAATTTATTTGTGATCAAAAATTCGGTCAATGGTTGGCTTTGCTCATACATGAATGAGTTATCTGCTTAGTGCTTTTAAGATGTTGTGAAGCGATGTTTTCACTGTTCTTTGAATGTTCTGTGAATGCATGTGCTAGTCATTAACCTCTTGACCACCTCCAATTACGTCTTACGTTTTCCATTGCCCTAATTTCGCACTGCTGATTCCATGGTGTGATGGTTGGACGTCATTGCTTCGCTGTGTGGCCGTGCCTTTGATACTTTGCAGCGAGGTCATCGAATTCACCACATTATAGCAATTCCCCCAAAGTTTAACTTATTTGTCATGAAAAACTTTGCAGAGGCATTGCTGTAGCCACATATCTCTCGCTGCGGCTGTACATTATTTAGGAGGGGAGGAAGTGGAATTTGGGTAGAATTTCACCAGGCTTTAGAAAAAATTCAGGACCGGCTACCAGTCGCATACCAGATGCACAATCGTCCATTGGTAGCCTGACGAGAACATTGTTTATTAATTTATTCATTTATTTGTTTATCTGGCTTTTTTTCAGAGCGGCGGTTTTAACGATTCCGCTGTGTGGGACCATGATTATTTTGGCCCATTTTCAATCATTCTATCCTTATCTGAAGCAGACGTGATCATATCAAGGCCGAAAGGGCTAGACTTTTCCAAGAAAAAAGCAAGACTCCGTCTCTTCAGAGCATCTGCTCATTACTCTCAAACTAAGATAAACTTCAGCTAGTAATTTGAAATTAGCAAAGCAAAATTCTCATCCTGCATAGCCACATGGGGGACTCTTCTCGGCACTTCCGTTTTCCCCTTCTCTGCGGGATCACAATCCCGTCTGTGCGTTGCTCTTTTTGTTCGCTAAGTGCAGACTTGAACCCGAAAACTCACTTCTATCGCCGTTATTGATGAAGTTCGGGCAGTTTCTTCTCATCGAAGAAAAAACACGAAATGGGACGACGCTTCAGTTTGGTGATTCGAACCGTGTAAAGGTTCCTACTTCCCCAAAGAGGCTGGTGTTGATGTTGGGTCGAGAGATTTTCTATGGTAGAAAAAGGACGTAGACCTTGACATTGTATTATATTACAGTGGAATGAAGGAGGACAAAAGTGTCGTAAGAGATTCGACCGATTTTGTTGGTTTCGTGGCTGACATGTGCTGAACATGGGTCTTGAAGCTGTCCCTTCATTTCCATTTCACCGATCACCGTCGCATGAGCGTGATTCTACTTGCTCCTTCAACACTGAGACGGTCGCCTAGTTCATTCTTTAAGCTCTCAGTAGGTGATTTCTATCATGTCTTCCGAACAGAATGAATAAGGTCTACAGAACTCGAGGAATACCGTGACTGCTAGCTGATTGACACATTGGCGGCAGATCTCCTTTTGTTTGACTTTTGGATCCTTGTGTTAAGACAAGCGTGATTATGAGCTTGGAATAGATAGAAAAAGTCCGAAAAAATAATCACGCATGGCGAAAAGGAACGCGTTGGTGTGACCCGCCAGAGGATCATGCTGTCGTCAATGTGCTAATAAATTCTCGCGCCCAACTTCACAAGTTCCATTCTGTGTGTCGTCAATTCAATGCGCCATTGTCGACCACGTAGTGATTGAGGTCGCAGATAGCCTGCTGAATGGCCTCATTTCCAGGCCTCAAATGATTATTTTGATCCTGTTCTCAATATGCGTATTCTCCGATGAAAAATCGCTGTCTAACTCGCCGTCGCAGTCCTCTCATGCCGCAGATGACAAAGCAGTAGCATCCGACTCATTAAAGCGGCCAGTGGTTGATGATTTTGAGGTATGAGCTCGACATCAGTATATGTCTGCTTTAGAAGACTCTTTTATGTGTATATTTGGGTTTTCAGGATTTTACTGCGCCTTTTCCTCCACAACCGCGAACGGTTTATCATATCGACTTCACCAAAGAGAACGGTTCAGAAATTGTAGCAAATCGACGGACGATATTCGAGGTAGGCCGTTGTTTTTATATGTTTTGTTGAGTGCTGTTTGCTGCCAGGCTTATGATGCGTCAGTTACTAAAAAAGTGGCATGTTTTGGGGTTAATGCATTCCTCCAAAGAGATTCACCCGCGGATCTTGCGCGTTCCATCGATGCATTCGTGTGAACTCATTGCGAAACTGACACTACGTTTGCATTTTGATTGTCTAGGGCCCATGTACCACTGAAAGACCAGGTAAGGTAAAGCAACCTATATGGTTTCATGGCCTGTCTACTAAGTCGATATCGTGGCTCCAAAGACGACTGTCAGCTCTTGAAGGCGGAATTTGGAAGCTTACGATTAGAGTTAGGTAGGTCAGTGGCGCTGGCATGAAGAAAAGCCATGAGAAACCCACAACCCGATAAATGATACCCCTTCCTTGCCCATCGATTTCCGCATTGATGCGAATCTCATCGGTGAGTCCTCTTCAATGCTAACGCTCTCTAAGTTCTCTCTGCTGAACGGCCAGAGACCTGCAGCGAGTGGTTGTCCAGTTAGTTGGGCGTGGGCGTGCCGATCCGATGGCGCCGCGGGGACTGCCACGGTAGCATGGTCGTGGGGGAATGTTTTTGTGAATTTGCGAAATGCCGGGGCGGTCTCCACCATAGGTGTCCGCCTCACGATTAAGTTTTCACTTCTCCGATCGCTTCGAAGCGTGGGAATACTCCTCAACTTTTGTTATCTGTTATTGCCACGTGCCGGGAGTCCCTGCATCGAAGAGGCGTAATACATAGGCCAGAGTTATTGATTTTCTCGTGACGAAACTACTTTTCTCACAAGTTATCTCGGTACTGGGTTCTTTGAGTGAAGGCAATACAACTCTTGAGGACTTTTAAAGTTGCCTTCGGTATTCATGTCTTTACTTATAGAATACATAACATGCCACTAGGATCACTGGGACAGCCGTTCAATTTTTATTTCCTTTTTTTGTTTTATATTCTATGACATAGAAGGGATTATTTTAATGTATTCACTTACACTGGCAGAGAGTACTGATAACTAATAATTGAAGGTGATTCCTGCCGACTACATATGCGAGTTCTGCGTAGCGGTCATCAAAAGCTGAAGGAACGACAGAGTACTGAAGCGGATTTTGAAAAGGTGGGAAAGCGCAATTCGTCCGGACTATGAAGTCACCGTTTCAGCAAGATTATTTAGATCGAGCAAAAGTTACTTGTTCGGTCAAGCGACGCATGTTTTATGGGCGTATAATTTCAGAATATGCAAGAAGAGTGCTGGAAACACAATGGGACGGATTGCGATGATGGTTAAATGGTTATGTTGAGCTGATCATAAGTGAGTCTTATCAATAATATCAATAATCTCAACCTAAAGTCACATTCTGCGATTGAACAGATAGTGTTACTGTGCTCGAAAATGAGCGCAGTTGTGCTCATTTGTCTAGAAGTAACGAAGAAAGCGAAAATTGCCAATAACTCTTAAGGGCATATACCACTCAGTTACCCGGTTAGGGGTAAACATATACGTCCAAAAGGGCGTTTGAATTGTCAGGTTTCCCTCGGATATCGTAAAAATGGCAAAGTGCTGTGGTGAAATAAAGGAATCCAATGGGTCTCCCTAATGGGTGGATTGCAAACTGTATTAATTCGGGTGCGTTGATTTTAACGGTTGCTTGCCTTCTTCTAACCTTTAGAGCACTTTTTATCTGCCATACAGTGGACCAAGCGAGCACATAGCAGATCCCAACAAGGGGGAGGTCTTTCAGGGCAAGCCGCGCTTTTTGGAAACGGTTTCTTGCATATTGTAGGGACGCATGTATGGACCACAAAACCATGTTTCGTTTTCGCTGAACGGTTTTAGTAGTATCAAAAAAGTGGTGAATGATACTCTTGATGGTTCGATCCCCCGCGGCGACTAAATTTTGCAATCAAGGTTGGCGGCCACTTGTTGGCTTCAAAATGGTCCTGACGATGAATTTGACATCTGGGACGGTTATTTAAAGTCCCCTAAATAGCCAGTCTATAACTGGCCAAAAGGTCACGTTGATCTCGCCTTCGTGGAGGGAGCAAGAAGCCACTGGAGCTATCGATAATATTGATAACTTTCTGCCAATAAGGTGATCAGCTGTCCCCCGCAGTGTTCCACTTATTGATCGTGTTATAGCTCCTTCCTTGGTCCCGGGAGCATTTCACTACTGTACAATCATCTAGGCCATGATCCTAGGTCCAAACACGTCGATTGGCGCAGTGGGTTCGTTCCTTGTTGACATTGGATCGCTCGCGGGATCAGTTCTCCATGATACTGGATGTTTTGCAACCCTCATAGGATCCTACCTTGCTTTCTACAATTCTTTCGAAGTAACACAGCAATGCTTTGTGGTGCAGTGGCAAACGTCGCGCTCATGGGCGCTGCACTACATGGTTCAAGTCCATGGCGACGCGACTTTTGCTAGGAATGTAGTGAAGCTCGCCATTCAGAGCGGGGTCATCTGGCTGTCTCGCCTTTCATTATCACCGCTTACGGCCGTAGTTCACCACCTTTAACTCCCAGTCTATGGCACTTTACTACCGTCCCTGATTTGACATATCGTGAGCTTTGAGCGAGTCCAACGCGAAATGCAAAATTTCGTCACCCCGTGGAATCGAACCATAAAAGTATCATTAACCCCTTTTTTGGTACTTCAACTGCAAGAAACCGTTTTGAAAAAGCGTGACTTGTCGTGGAAGACTTTCTATCTTGAGATTGCCATTGACACCCTTCACATCTAGTACTTTGTAGTCATGGAAATGCAGAGGAAGTTGGTGGTGAGTTGCAATATGTAGAAGTGTTGAGTGATATATTCGTCTTTCCTTTGTGGGGCGTCGAAGGTATCCTTAACCGACTAATCTACCGGCTGCTTCTGGCCTGTGAATACCTACTTGACTTCTGGAAGAAGTCCGCAAATTGTCGCACAGGAAATTTGGACGTGAAATAGGCAGCATCCTTCCCACAGTTCAGGAAGGAATAAGTTATTGAAAAGCCAAAACGGCCATGGATTGGTTGGGTCTTCATTTTTAATCAATGCTAACGCAACCACTATGTGGTACGACCCGTCACTTACCGAACCTTCTACACTTCAAGCGCTAGAGCTCAATACATCGACCTAAGTTTAGGTTGTATCTTTACCTCTCCCTCCTTCCTATGAAAGACGTTGTAAGAACAGTGCTTGAACAAGTTGTTTTCAGAGTCGCCCTTCAACGACTTCGTGACGATGAACCACAGAAAATCTGCGTTGATGAGAAAATGTGTCATGATATAGAGAAAGAGATCACTGAAAAACAGGAGAAGGAGCTAAAAGAGAAAGAAGAAGAAGCGAAACGAAAACGCGAGGAAGAGGACAAGAAGAAAGCTGAAGAAATTGAGAAGCTTAAAAGCGAGGTATCACCGCGTGCTTAGCTTCTGAACTCTTTCTTTGTGTGCCTGTGTGTTGTCAATTTGTTAATGATTAATAAGCATACATTTAATAAACTCGATTATTCTTTCACCACACTTTCTTTCGCATGCTTACTAACAACTCGGCTTCTTAGCCTAGAGATATTGCTTGTTAGCGAACTCTTTCGTATCTGCTCGTAGAAGTATGTAGATGTCAGAAGTGCAGTCGTGTTTATTGGCTTCGCTGCCTGTTGGAAATGTACACGGAGTGATCAGTGGGGAGCAGGGTCAATCGTACGTTGCGCTGTTCTCAGCGGTAGGAGGGACGCGTATTTGAGCTTTGTGAGGAGTGGGTCATATTGGGGGTTAAGTTGTCTCAAGGGATTTAGTGGTTTTGAAGGAAAGCTTTATGAAAGAATCAAGATTCAGGAAAAACCAGACGATTTTCCATTGTTTAGACATACTTACTCCCTCTCCCCTATGCGGGGAAGGAGGTTGTATTGGGGGGTCTCCTAACTCTGATGGT